AAGTGACTGAAATCCTGCAAAGAGCGGAGCAAGCACCACTGTTCCCTCTCGGTCCCCTGCCCCACATACAACTTCGCAACCCAGCAACTGGGCTGCCCTACCCAGGTGAACACCTAAGGCTCCGCCCCTCATACATAACAGGTGTGACAAGACAAAAAAAATAGCCCAAACAAATAACAGATAAAAGCTCCAGAAAAAATACAACTAAGTGCTCAAGAGATAGCCAACCTATCAGATGCACAGTTCAGAACAATGGTGATCAGGATGCTCCCAGAATTGGTTGAATTTGGTTGCAAATTAGATGAAAAAATGAAGGCTACACTAAGTAAAATAAAGGAAAATGCACAGGAAACCAATAGTGATGGGAAGGAAATTGGGACTCAAATCTTGGACTGGACCAGAAGGAAAAAAGAAACATCTAACCAGAAAAGAATGAAGAAATGAGAATTCAAAAAAATGAGGAGAGGCTTAGGAACCTCCAGGACATCTTTAAATGTTCCAACATCCGAATTATAGGGGTACCAGAAGGGGAAGAGGAACAGCAACAAGTGGGAAACTTATTTGAAAAATATTAAAGGACAATTTCCCCAATCTGGCAAAGCAAATAGACTTCCAGGAAATCCAGGAAGCTCAGAGAGTCCCAAAGAAGTTGGACACAAGGAGGAACACAACAAGGCACATCATAATTACACTACATAATTACATAATTACAACAGCCAAGATTAAAGATAAAGAAAGAATCTTAAAAGCAGCAAGACAAAATGAGAGAGTTACCTACAAAGGAGTTCCCATCAGACTGTTAGCCGATTTCTCAAAAGAAATCTTACAGGAAAGAAGGGGCTGGAAAGAAGTATTCCAACTCATGAGAGGCAAGAACCTACATCAGAGACTGCTCTACCCAGCAAAGCTTTCATTTAGTGGAAGGGCAGATAAAGTGCTTCTCAGATAAAGTCAAGTTAAAAGAGTTCATCATCACCAAGCTCTTATTATATGAAATGTTAAAGGGACTTATCTAAGAAAAAGAAGATAAAAAACATGTACAGTGAAATGTTATTCATTTTATATTCATGTTACTGTTATTCGTGTTATTGTACATTTTACTGGACTGCAAACTCAGTTATTAACAACCACACCTAAAACAAACAAAAACTAAGCAAACAACTAGAACAGAAACAGAACCACAGAAATGGAGAACACATGGAGGATTATCAACAGGGGAGTGGGAGGAGCAGAAAGGGGGAAAAGGTACAGAAAATATGTAGCATAGATGGTAGATAGAGAATAGACAAGGGGAGGTTAAGAATAGTATAGGAAATGTAGAAGCCAAGAACTTATGACACATGGACATGAACTAAAGGGGGAGGAATGTGGGTGAGAGAGGGTGTGCAGGGTGGAGGGGAGTGAATGGGGGGAAATGGAACAACTGTAATAGCTTAATCAATAACATATATTTAAAAAAATAAAATAAAATAAAGAATTCCAAAATATCAATTCAAAAGAACCTATGCACCCTTATATGCATAGCAGTGTTATTCACAATAGTCAAGTGCTGGCAACAGCCTAAGCACCCATCAGTAAAGGAGTGGATCAAAAAACTGTGGTTCACCCCTGGCTGGTATAGCTCAGTGGATTGAGTGTGGGCCTGTGAAACAAAGGATCACAGTTCGATTCCCAGTCAGGGCACATGCTTGGATTGCAGGCCAGTTCCCAGCAGGGGACGCATGAGAGGCAACCATACATTGATATTTCTCTTTCTCTCTCCTTCCCTTCCCCTCTAGAAATAAATAAATAAAATCTTTAAAAAAACTGTGGTTCATTTACAGAATGGAATACTACACAGCAGGGGAAAAGAAGGAACCACTACACTTTCCAACAACATGGATGGAACCGGAGAGTATTGTACTAAATGAAATAAGCCAGGCAGTGAAAGACAAATACTATATGATCTTACCTATAAGTGGAACATAATCAACAATACAAACAAGCCAAAAACCCCTAGAGACAAGGAAATAAAGAACACACTAATAGTGACCAGAGGGGAGGGAGGAGGGGAATAATGGAGTAAAGAAGAGGATGGGTCAAGTCAAGGATCATGTACAGAGGACCCAAGGTCAAGGACAATGGGGTGGGGATTGTCTTTGGGAGTGGGGGTTGGGGAGAGCAATGGAGGAATAAATGGAGACAATGGTTAACTGTACAATAATAAAAATGGGCCTGGAAATCATACTCATCTCATAATCCCTGGAGCCTGTGAATATTACTTTATCTAGCAAATACTTTTTAGATGTAATTGTTTTAGTATACTGAGATGGGGAGATTATTTGGATTATCCAGGTGCATCCTAAATGTCATCATGTGGGGAGGACTCTTCCTGCAAGTCCCCCCATTTGCCACAGATGAAAGTAAACATGACCTAATCTGCTTGGGGAGGAGAGGTGGCCAATCCCCCAAAAGGGGAGGGCCTCAAGCCCCTTCCTCCAGGGGCTTCTAGTGGCTTGTAATACACAAGAATACAGGGTGGCAAGGATCAAACAGTAGGTGACATTTCAAAGAAATCTGAGGGCTTAGTGTGAGTCAGTGTCTGTCAGGGAGTTTTGCAGGAACTTTAGGGGTTCTCACTCAGACCCTTAACATACGAATTAGAGCACTCTTAGCAGAGCAGATTTCACAGGTTTTTCAGGAATTCTTTGTGATGCCAGATTTTTTTCCCTGGGATCTGCTCTGGCAAGGCAAAGAGCTGCACCCTTCCCCATCAGGTATTCAGGCTTAAGAGGATTAGCGCAAGGAAGTGCTTCTCCCAGAGGACATGGAGACTCAGGCTATGTCACATAGCTGGGGAGCTCGGGTCTATTGCTCACTCTTTGTTGCAGCCCCCCGAGTGATCATGTCTGGTTTAGGTTGCCCCTCCCCTGAGGGGACTTACCTGTCAACAACACAGACCATGCTTTTGGGGCAGGGAGGGGAAACTGAGGCAGCATTTGCTACCAGAGACAAGCTTTGTCTCCTATGGCTCGCATTCCAGAGGTCACTTGTTCATCCTTAGCCACGGGGAGTAGAGTTACAATTCCTGAAACCAGGCTGAGTGGTCCACAACATCATCATAAGTGTCCTTATAAAAGAGAAGCAAAGGGAGATTTGATACAGAGAATAGAGAAGGAGGCAATATTGTAACCGAATGTAGGTCCACCTGCCTGCCACAACAGAAGCCAAACTCATGAGACAGGTGCTGGTGAAAAGGAACGTGGTTGATTCAATATCAGCATTCTGAGAAGATGGGGACCTCTTGTCCCTCTTCACATATCAGTGCAGGCAAAGGTGTTTATAAGAAGGGAGAGGGAAAGCCAAACAAAGAGATCAAGGGGAGGTGGTTAAAAAGTTCTCCACATGCAGACCAGAAGAGTCCATTCCAATCAGAACCGCAAAATTGGTCAAGCAATGGTCTAGTGTGTGTCATCTTGGTTTTCATCATTCTGGTTTTATGTCATCTCCACTCTATAGTTGAAGGTCAGCAAATCTCTCAGATGAATGAAGGTTGGAATTTGTATGTTTTAGTTAGTTCCTACTATTTTTATACAAACATGTTGTTTATCTGTAAGCTACGTATTAGTCAGAGTCAGCATTGACAGAAACAATGTCAAAAGAATGGTGGGTGGATTACAATTCCTCACTGTTGAATATGGCCAGGGAAACAATGATTCAGTAATGTGGCCACAAGTCAGGGAAGGCTGGCCACAGAAAAAGATTTCCCTTATATAAACATCTGATACTAAAATTTCTGGCCTCTAGAACTGTGAAAAACTAATTTTCTGTTTTCAGCCACCAACTGTGTGGTGATAACAGCAAGCACAAAAAATACATATGGGTGGCTTGGAGGAGGGTTTTTAGCAGCAGAAAGGGCCAGAAGTGATTGGATTCAAGATCTGTTATTGGAGATAGTATCCACAGCACTAGCTGATGTATATATGGTATTAATATCATACAAGAGCCCAGGATGATTCCCAGGTTTTTGTTCTGTGCAAGTGCATGGCTGATGGCATCTCCTACTGAGATAGGAGAAGGGGAGGAAAAATGATTAACAGTTGTGTTGAGAAAATATCAAGTAGTATATATCACTGCTAAGTTCATAATTCAGTTATCTGTAGAGTGTCAATTTGATATGATTATGGAGCTAAGGAAGGCGAGGCTGGAAATATAAATCTGTGAGTTATCAGTTGTGTTTAAAGCCATGGGGCCAAGTCTACAGACCTAGAAGAGAGAAGACTTGGTCCAAGGTCTGAATCCGGAGACAATCTATGTTTCAGTGGGACAGTAGAGGAGGCCAACAAAGGAGAGGAGGAGCCAAACAGAAGGGAGAATGGCAGGAGAGTATGGAGTCACATAAGCTAGGGGAGTGGGCTGTGGAGGGAAAGATCTACATTTTACATGTTGCTCTAAGGCTGGAGAGGTAGAGAACTGGCCACTGTATTTGGCAACGTGGTCACCACAAGTGGCCTTGAGAAGCACATTCCAGTGGTCTGGTGGCAAGGAAAGCTCCTTTAGTCTACTGCAGAAAGACTGGTAAGTGAAGAAAAATCCGTAGCGAATCTGCGCAACTTTTCTGAGAACCCTTGCTCCACAAAGGTAATGCGCTATGTCAGGCAGCAGCCTTGGGGTGCAGAGAGGGCTCTAGTTGGTTTTGAAGGCAGCTGATTCTGCGGCACGTGCTTGTTGGTGTCAACGCGGGAGTCAGAATTGAAGCTGAAGTAGAAATGGGGAGGCCACACACCTTGGCACGCTGGAGGGCCGGGTCGGCGCACTGTTTCCTCAAGCCTTCCCTCTCCAACCGCAGCGCTCCACACCGCATCCGACTTGCGCGAGAACCACATGTCCCGTCGGGCGTTGCGCGATGCGGAAGTGCGCAGGCGCGCCCCACACCTCCTCCCTCTCCCAGGTTTCTTCCTCTTGCGTCAAACCCAGTTCCCGGCCGAGGGCAACGAAGGTTGCTCTTAAAGGAGAAACTGCCGAGGTGCCGAGAGGTGGGCCCCGGCTTCCCCGCCTCTCTCCTCTGGGCCTGGCGGCGCCGGGGGCGCAGGTAAGGCCAAGCGCGGCAGGCGCTCCGGACGGTCCGCGCCTTGCATGCATTACTTGCTGCGGCCCAAGACCAGGTTGGGGTGCCCTGCAGACCCCCGGCCCAGGTACGCGACCCAACTAGCGGAACGCCGGCAGCGCGGATTACGCATCCTCGCAGCTGAAGTTGTTCCCCACCCCGTTCCCCGCCCAGGAGGAGTTCCCTCAGGAAGACTCGTGCCCAGCCCGCTGCTACCTCTCCTCGGTGGCCGGGCACTTCCCATCGTCCACAGCGAGTGCTATGGCAACGGTTTGGTCCTGCCCATCCCCCCGCTGAGACCGCAGGCGTGGTCCCGGGAGACCCGCCCGCTCTCTCGCGTCTTCTGTCTCGCAGGCCACGGGCCCATGGCTGCCTCTGCCGCAGACGCGTCGCACAGGCGGCGGGAGAAGCGGCGGCAGCTGGACGCGCGCCGCAGCAAGTGTCGCATCCGCCTGGGCGGCCACATGGAACAGTGGTGCCTCCTCAAGGAGCGGCTGGGATTCTCCCTGCACTCGCAGCTCGCCAAGTTCCTGCTTGACCGGTTAGGGCCGGACCGGGGGTGGGGATGGGGCACCCAGCGCCCCCAACAAAGTGCCAGCCCCTTTCTACTGGCCCCATTCTTACTTCAGCAATATAGCTTGTGAGATTTGGGGTCTGCCAGGGGCCTGCCGCTCCCCTCTTGGCCCCCCAGCGAATGTGGGGGTCCTATTAGAACTTGCCCCTTAACTGTGTGAGTGCCTATAGTTGGAAGCATTTGTCCGGCTGTGGCGCGACCTGACCTGCCTCTTGTCCCTCTGGCAGGTACACTTCTTCAGGCTGTGTGCTCTGTGCAGGTGGGTAGGCAACGGCTGCGGGGGAGGGGGGGCGGGGGCACAGGAGCCACTGAGGGAAGAGGGGCAGCAGTGATTGGTGTGACCCAGGAACGCCCTCTGTAAAAGGGTTGGATCAGAGGGAACCTCGAGCCAGTTTGGGAAGAAGAGAGGAGTTGGGGAGCCCAAGGCAGTTAGATGGCAGCAGCCTGTGGGGAAGGAAGGAGTTGCTCAGGACCTGAGAGTCAAGGCTCTGAAGAATGGTAAACTGGACTCAGGACCAGGGTTGCCCAGGGGTGTTGGGAGACAAGGTAGGGGTCTGGGTATGGCTCTCAAGGGTGAGAGTAGGGGGCAATCCAGCTTGCCCTGACTGTCACCTTCACCCTTTTAGGTCCCAAGCCTTTGCCCCCCAAGGGTCTGCAATATCTGGTTCTCCTATCTCATGCCCACAGCCAAGAGTGCAGCCTGGTGCCTGGGTTGCGGGGGCCTGGGGGCCGAGATGGTGGGCTTGTGTGGGAGTGTTCAGCGGGCCACACCTTCTCCTGGGGCCCCTCTTCAGGCCCCACACCTCCAGCGGAGTCCAAGCCAGCCCTCCTTCCAAGTACTTCCCAGAGAACCTGGTACCCAGAGGCCAGGGGTGGGCAGGAGCCTGCAGGTAGGCCTGGGAAAGAAGAGTTGCAGAGAATAGGAAGGAAAAGGTTTTCATCCCTAGAGCTCAAAATCCTGTTCTTTAAAACTGTGCCTCTCTCAGTGAAAAAAACTATGCTGTCAAAAAAATATATCCTCAAATATATATTTTTATATATATAGAATAGAAAAAGAAGTGCAGAATAGGATGCATGGTATGTATTTTGGTGGGAAAATAAGGGGAGAAAGTACTTTGGAATGAGTGAAATATCTCTGGGAGGGCAAGTTGGAACCAGGTTGCCTGTGGGAAGAGGAAGGCTAGCGGCGGGCAGTATTGGAAAGGAGACTTTTCATATTGTACTTTTTTATACTTACAATTTTTTGAACCATTTGAATGTATCGTCTTTAAAATAAAACACTCCCATTGTAGTAGTTTTTGCCCCTTTCTCCTCCTCCTTCCTAAGACCCCTCCCATGAATTCAGACCTTAGAGTCCACCTGCTCTCATCCCTCCAGCCCAAAGTTTCTTCCACTTTGACCCCACCTGTGCCAACAGGTTTGGAATCTGAGCATGAGAAGAGGACTCAGGAAGTGAGGGTGCTCAGGTGAGGTTGGGGGGACGGACAGACTAGACCAGTGAACAATGGTGATGAAGGATCAGAACCACAGGCTTGCCTTCTTTGCTGTTGCAGGGGAATGCGACCCCCACCAGAGTTCTTTCTGCCTCCAGGAGAAGACAAGGGGGGTGATGAAGATGAGAGTGAAGAGGAGATGCTCAGTGATGCCAGCCCATGGACCTATAGCTCTTCCTCAGACAAGCAAGTTGGGGCTGAGGGAAACATTGAGCATAGGAGAAGGGCAAGGGCAGCAGGCCAGAGATGCAGAGCTTTGCAGACTTGAGGAAAGGGCTTATTGGTGGGGAAGGCAGAATTGGAATTGGGTGGGAGGGGGTGACGTTAGGCTCTGTGGGAGAATAAAGTCTGAACACAGATGTGAGTGGAGGCTGGGTAAGGTTGCTCTGAGTTTGGGATCTTTGTGATTTAGGCGCTGGTGCTGGCTGAGGGCCCAGGGAGATAATGTCCTCCTCTTCATTGTTTCAGCTGTGAGCCAGATGGCCCCAGACTGCCTCCTTCTCCTGGTACCCATGCACTTAAGGAGGGAGAGATAGCCCTGGCCCCTGTAGCTGCCCCCACTTCTCTGGCTGGGCCACCCTCATCAGCACCTGCAGTGAGTCCTGGAGATTCTCTGTCTGTGGAAGGTGGGGTAGAACTGGAGCTCAATCGAACCCCTCAAGCGGCCCAGCAATCTAAACCCCTGGCCAGGTAACCTGATGGCTGAGACAGAGGGCAGGGGTATCCTGGGCCGTGGCCCTCCTTCGAGGCCCTCTGCTCCTTCTTTGCTGCTCACAGCCCTGGGAGTCAGGCCCAGTCTTCTCTGGTTGTAGCCTGGGACAAGGACAGTGCACAGATCGGCCCCAAGAGAATTCGGTAAGACTGAGGGAGGGACTCTGAGAGGGGCTAAGAGGAGGGAGCGAGGCTGAGGAGAGTCTGCAGGAGTCTTCATACTTCTCCCTATTCTCACCCACAGGAAAGCTGCCAAAAAGGAGCTGCTGCCTTGTGACTTCCCTGGCTGTGGAAGGATCTTCTCCAACCGGCAATATTTGAATGTGAGGATGTGAGGGGCACAGGTTGAGTTCTGTGTGGCTTCAAGTGGAGAAGAAGCTGAGGGGAAGGAGCCTGGGGTTTGGGGGAATCTGAAGGAGAACGGTTGGGGTGATGTACAGAGCTTACCTGCTGTCAATAATCACTAAACCAAGTAACAGGTAGGGAAAGCAGAAAACCCAACCTTGGACGCACAACCACTGCCCACTACTGCTTGTTTCATGGCCTCTAGGGATCACAGGAAATGACGGTGGCATCCTCCAGTTCTCTAGGTAATAGCGGCTGTTGTAATCATTTGACCCATTGATCTTCGCCACACTCCAGGGAGTAGGCGCTGATACTGTTGCCACTTTGCAAATGAGAAAACCAGGGTACAGAAGGTTATGCACTGTCCAAGGCTCCTCAGCTAGAGTATATTAATAATGCTGGGGATCCCTGAGTCATGTCCCCATCTTCACTGTAGAAGAAGTTCAAGGCACAGAAAGGGCAGGGCCCACCCCCACACTCAGCCAGAGCCCTCAGGGCAGGTCTGGGTGCTGAGGAGGGCCCACCCAGGGCTCTTGAGTCAAAGGCATACTAGGAGGGAGTAGACTTAGCAGCAATTTAACTATGGAAAGTGGGATTTTGGAAGGGGAAGCCCATGTGATATAATGAGGCAGGATGTGAACCAGGGTCACATAAGAAGAGAACTATATCTCAGAAGTACTCGGAGAGTCAAGGCTGAAAAACACGCTACCCTTAAGAATGTTGCAGGTTAAGAGTGCATGTGTATATCCAACGCAGATGTTGGAGAAAACTGTATAATATATGACTGGGTGATCTGTTACTAAAAAGTAGGCCATCTGGATGATGATATACTTCGATATGGGTAGGGAGGAAGATAATCATGCCCACCACAAGGTGGTGTCCTGTCCCCTGCAGACAGCACATTCATAGTTAGGGAACTGGGCTCTGCAAGTGGAGGTGATGGCAAGGAGAGGAGATCATACAAATCAAGAGTATAGTAGGATGAGGGCATTTTGTGGTCAAGATGGGGTTGGGTGGAGATAATGACGTGTAGATGATAGGACCTGGTGGTGATAGTTTGGGGCAGACAGAGGAGCCTGCCTGCTGGGTCAGCTCTAGGGTCTCCCTGAGGAGAGCACCCCCTTCCTTCCGTAGCACCACAAGAAGTACCAGCACATCCATCAGAAGTCCTTCTCCTGCCCAGAGCCAGCCTGCGGAAAGTCCTTCAACTTCAAGAAACACCTGAAGGAACATGTGAAGCTGCACAGTGGTCAGTGGAGGGAATGCCTCCTTGCTTCCCGCTGTGGGTCCCTTCACTTCCCCCGTGGGGCTGGTCAACTATCTGCAGTTCCCATCACATCCTCTCTAGGTGACTTTCATACACTTCCCAGTGTGTTGGGCATATGCCTGCCTGAGACTGTAGGTGCTGGGACACTCCAGTGAACAAAGCAGGCAGTCCTCACCTCGTAAGATGTCCACTCAAGTAGAGTGTGGAAGATGTGGGAAAGCAGGGAAGCAAGGAGAACATGGAGGAGGAGTTGCTCTTGCAGAAAGGGAGGTTCTTTGAGCAAAGACCTCAATGAAGAGAGAAATGGAGATTTGTCCACCTCTATGGGCAGCATGTGAGAAGGGAGAGAGGACAGCTAGGTGGTGGGGGTCCCAAGACTACCGTTAGGATGGCTTGTCTCCTGGCTAAATGAGATGGGCCTTATCTCAGGATCTGGAGCAGTGAAAGAACACAACTGACTTTGAAAGGAGAGCTGTGGCTGTCGTGTGGAGGAGAGCACTTCAAGGACATGCAGTGTACAGTGATGTTGGTCTGGAGGCTGTTGAGAGCATGACAGTAGAACCAGAAGGGCTACCATGGGAAGGACAAATTAGCCACCAGAGGGATGAGCATGGAGGAGTTGAGGGTGATTTGGATGACTCCAGTCTGAACAACTGGATAGAAGGTTATGTGGTTTCTTGAGACAGAGACGTGCACTTCAGGAAGGAGACATTTTGTTTGGGGCATGCTAATTAGGTATTCCAGAAGATGTGAATCTGGAGTTTAGGGGAAATGAGCAGGGGGAAAAAAGTGTTTGTCCTGAGCACATGGATGGTGTTTGGAGCTGTGGGTGGCATGCCTGAAGGGAAGGAGTGAATCTGGGTGAAGAGGTTTGGGATGGCAGGTGGGAAAGGCAGCTGCAGAGGTTCCAGAAGGCAGGTGAGGAAACTGGTATCTAAGGACCAAGTGGACTCAGTGCTGGAAAGGGGAAGGGAGTTATGCCTGTGCCACAGGGCTAAATAAGAGGCTGAGGACAGGCTAACAAACATGGTAGTGGAAAACCGTCACTGACCAGATGGTGCATGACGAGAGATGGCTGCCATAATGGAGTGGGTTCCAGGCAGGATGTAGCTAAGGAAGTGGAGACAGTGAGAATGGATACCTCTTTGGGTTTTGCTGGGAAAACAAGCAGAGAGTTGGGGCCTTAGTTAGGAGGGCTATGAGCTTGGGGCACAGAGGCGGGACTGATCCCCCAGAGAGGAGAGACTTGCTGACTCAGGTGGGCAACCTCTGGTTGGTGAGGGAGTGTCTTGGTCTCAGTTGGAGGGCAGCTGCAGAGGAGTGGGCAGTAGTCACATACGAGGTGGATTTGGGGGCAGGATATGAGCTTCTCTGGGGTAAGTCACTCTTGGTGACCTTAAAAAATGAGTTCAGTGCTAAATGGGGCTGTTGGAGAGGAAGTGGACTCCAGAGAGGAGAGCTTAAGCTGACTGGGGAAGTGCATAGGGACACATAGGCCCTTGAGTCTTCTGGTGGATAAAAGGAGAAGCTGGGGGAGAATTGTTTCTGCCCCTCCTGTGCAAGCCCGGAGCAGGCCAATGGTAGTGTTTATACTCCATTGGTTTTAACCTAACAGGTATAGCCGAGGAAGAAAGGGACTACTGAGTTGGTATGAATGAAGGAAGGCTACACAGCTGCCCTAGAAACACATTGGGCAAGAAGGGGCAGGAGGCAGTGGGAAAGCATTGGGCTCTGGACTTCAGCCTGGAGTCATGGGATTATCACAGTGGGATAAGATAATGTAGCCAGTTCTCTGGCTGGAACTCAAATGGTTGAAATTGTGATGGGGCATGTCTTTGGAGTGCTGGTTAAGCAGGGTTGAGGGCCAGGTCAGTGAAGGTCAGGAAACAGAGATGTGAGCACTGGCCAAGCAGGAAGCAAACTGACTGCAGAAGTGGCTGGCGAGAAGACCTAGAGCCAGTATTACATGGAGCACAGGAGAGTGATGGGGGCTGGTTCCGTGCGTGCGTGCGTGCGTGTGTGTGTGTGATCTGATGGCACTGTATACAGAGGTCTAAGGGCTACCTTCAGCAGCTTGAAGGTGGTAGGGAGGGCAGATTCTAGAAAAAAAAGGGAGGGGATTGCTGCCAACAGTCACAAGGCACTGTTGACGGCCAGGGTGGATGTGATGTGCAGGCTAAAAGGGACAGTACTCCTGTGGGGGCTGGTGCGTGGGCCAAAAAGGGGCCACAACCTGGGGATGGATGCTGGGGTGTCCCCATGCCCCCACAGACACTCGGGACTACATCTGTGAATTCTGCGCCCAGTCTTTCCGCACCAGCAGCAACCTGGTCATCCATCAGCGTATCCACACTGGAGAGAAACCCCTGCAGTGAGTGTGGTGGGTTGGGTGTTGGAGGAGGGGGCTGGCAGGAGGACACTTAGGCAACTGGGCTGAGGCCCCTAACTTCTCTCTGCTGGCCCTGGCTCAGGTGTGAAATCTGCGGGTTCACTTGCCGCCAGAAGGCCTCCCTGAACTGGCACCGGCGCAAACACGCAGAGACAGCAGCCACCCTGCGCTTCCCCTGTGAGGTCTGCGGCAAGCGCTTTGAGAAACCAGACAGCGTTGCAGCTCACTGCAGTAAAAGCCACCCGGCTGTGCTCCTGGCCACATCAGAGCAACTTGGCCAGGTGGAGCCCTGTCCTAGCATCTCTGTCCCTACACTCCTGGGGTCCAGGGATGAGTGCAGCCCCCCTCAGGTTCTGCAGGCTCTGACCCTGATTCCTAAGCAGTGACCACAGGGACTGAAGAGAAGAAAGGCCAGACACCTGGTCCCTGGGAACTAGGGAAGAAGGGCAGGACTGGATTCCAGCACAGCCAGACTGTGCTGGAATAGGACAGAATAAACCCAGTGTTTTTACATGGACATGTTTGGGCAGAGTGTTTTCACACCTGAGGCACAGGTATGAGCCCTGTTCTTCTCTGCAGGCTTATACCTCAAGGACCCAGCTGTCCCAATTTGCTTGGGCACTGCTGCCCTTTCCGGTGGAGCATCACACCCTCTCTTGCACTGGAGCAGGGCAGGCCCTGAGAGTAAGGGGAGCACTGGGTCATGCCAGAGGTATGGATGACCAGGTACACAGGTATGTGACCCTGGTGTACATTTTGTCCATTAACCTGGAGAAGCAAATGTGCAGGCCCAAAAATTCTCTCTCTCCAGCACAAAATCAGGGCTGTATGCAGCATTGCTGAGCTGCCTTGGAAACTTGGTTTGGGCCTGGTTCTCCAGTCACTCGAGTCTGCAGACAGTGGCTCCAGGTTTGATAATAGGGGGCTCTTGGCATCCAGAACTAAGACACTATTTCACCAGTCGTGACAGTAAACTGCTGGCTCAGGAAGTTTCCACCCTGCCCCGTTGCTTCTGTGGAGCTCTGAGCTTATTTCATGTGTCCTAACTTGGCGGTTTCAGGCTTTAGGGACCCAGGTACCCATAGCTAACGTTCCCCACCTGGCTGGAGAATATTGTCTTAACAGTCACTGGACACCATTAAGTCTGTCCCCTGGGACAGGTGAGTAGCCATGCTGAAGGCTCCTACCTACCTTCACAAGTTTGGGCCATTTCTCCAAGGCAGCAGGCTGGGTGCTTCTGATGTACAGACATCCTTCAGTGAAGCAAGCTTCTCCACCATTTCTGCCTGCAAATTTCCAGTCTCTCAGAAGCTCAGGGAGGAAACAATGAAAGGCTAACAGCCGAGTGGAACCATGAAGCAGAGATGGGCAGGTAGGATGAGACCATAGCCACATCTGTGATCATTACCAGTAGAGGCCGGACATAAAAAGTACCTGGGGAGGGACCTGGTCAGGTAGCTCAGTTGGTTAGAGCTTTGTCCCAATACACCAAGGTTAGGGATTCAGTATGTAGTCAGGGGCATACAAGAATCAACCAATGAATGCATAAGTGGAACAACAAATCAATGTTTTTGTCTCTCCCTTTCTAATACAAAGTTTTTTAAGTACCCAGGCAGGAGAGGTAAAGGGAACTTAGGCTGGAAAAAGATGGGACAAAGAAAACAACCCTAGTGGAAAGACTGCAAAAAAAAAACACTGGAAGCACAGGGACTGCAGGACACCCATCCCTAACCTCTCCCAAGCATGTGGGTCTGGGAGCTTGTCCTGACTACACCAATTTCCCCTCCCTACCCGGCCCCACCCCCCACCCTCCACCCCACCAGAGGAACAGGACTGAGTACAAGAAAAGGTCTGACAAGAAAGTAGGTGTAGGGTCATGGCAGGGGGCCAGGGACAGGGCTACTGCTGAGATGAGTAAAGGTGACAGTGCTGTCTGTGCAGAGCCCATGTGTGAGTTGGCTTTCCATCCCTGTGATAGATACAGTTTGTCACTTAGCACAGTCCAGGGAAGCCTCTCAGCGCAAGCCTCCTTCAGCTGGAAAGCAAAAAGTCCATTATGTTGGTGTTCTACCTGGGCAGCAAAGATGAGGGCCACAGCTATGGTATCTTGGTAGGTGACAGAAGCAACAACTGTGGCTGAAACATTCGCCACACTCAACACATTGTGCTTTTGGGTGGTCCAGGTGCCTCCTGCAATGCAGCACCAGCTTGGAGCCCATGCTGAAGGCTTTGCCACACTGGGGGTACTTGTGGGGTTTGTGGCCCATATGGTTACGCTGGTGCACAGTGAGGTTGAACATGTTTGTGAAGTGTTTGCTGCACAACTCACAGTGGTAGGGCTTCTCACCCATGTGCATGCACTGGTGCTTGGTGAGGTCCCAGTGGTCACTGAAGCTGCAGCCACACTTGAGGCATGGAAGGGGCCTTTCGACTGCATGCGCTGGTGCACCAGCAGGTCAGAGTGGTGGCCAAAGCCCTTGCAGCACATGGCACAGGTGTGTTGCACACCCTAGTGGCTGTGCCCATGTGGAGCTCTTGCTGAAGCAGTGTGCAGTCACTGAATATGTGGAGTTTCTTCCTGTTGTGCATGTGCTTCAGGTGCACCAATGTGGCACTCTCCAAGAAGCCCTTGTCACATGCGCAGCACCTGCAGGGCTTCTCACCCAAATGCCTTTGTAGGTGTCTCATTAGCATGAAGCTGTTGCAGAAGCTCTTTCATAACACAAGGGTGTGTCTGGACAGCATGACTTCTGGGGGGTGGGGTCACAAACTTCAGGCCTCATGGATGCCCTGTGTGGCTCTGCAGCCCTGTGTTGCTGCAGAGGGTGCCTCCCCACTCCTGCACTATGCTCAGTGGTAGGGAGCACCTGTGGGCACATCTCACAGGTACACTCACACCTGGTGGAAATGCAGCGAGCTCTAGTGGAAGACCTGCTCAGGCATATGCCCGAATCAAAGGTGCAACAGCAGAGCCAGAGCAGCCAGTGTGGAAGGGGGCAGCCAGAGGTACCACAGGGACAACAAAGGCAGGCTGCTGCTACGATGCACATGCTGGTGCACATCGAGGAAGCTGCTGTCGTGGAAGTTCTGGCTGCCTTCATTGTAGATGTAGAGTGGCCAGCATGGATGCATGGATACACCTGAAGTTCTGCAGCCCTGGCACAGTGCTGGCCACAGTGCAGGTAGCAGCATGGCACCAAACTATAGCAGAAGCTCCTGCCACACTCACTGCCTGTGTACAGCCTGCCCACCACTTCTGATGCAGCGAACCTGCAGAGGGCTGGGTGGGCAGGGAAGCTAGGCATTCAAGCTGCAGGGTCCACGTCGTCAGGCGGTGAGTTATTTTCAGTGTTCTTAAGGCCTGATTAACCAGCCTGTGGATTTCAGGGTTCCTTCTCTCCTGGGAAGGTGCTGTGGCTGGTTTGGAGGTGGGCTGCAGCCCGGTTCGCCCCATAGAGAGTAGGTCACTGTGAGCCCCACCAACAACTGCAGCAGCACTAACCTGGTGGGTAGAGTGAGCAGATTCCCGATTGCCTGTATTGTCCTCAGCAACATCATCCCCCAATTTCATTCTCTAAGACAAGGCAAAGCCATTGGGAGTCCTTGAAATGTGGGGAGAGGGAATCCTTGTGCCACCAGGAAGGGCTTAGAGGGTTGGGGGAGTGCCCAGCCTGAGCTCTAGCCTAGACCAGGGGTCTTGGCCTGGAGATGTTTTTGGAAACAATAGGGACAATGAGAAGGGCCCTGGGCCTGGACCACAGTACCTTTCTGAGACCCAGGTTTTCTGAGTCACCGATATGACTCCAACCAGGCCTAGGCTGGAAGTATAAACACACCCAACAGCAGCAGCCTGAGCTAAGCCTCAGAAGAGCTGGGGGCCAGGTAAGGTAGTATCTTCCTTTCTGACAGGCCCCTAAGTATTGCTCCATGGCTCTGCACAGTGACTGATCACACCAGTACACAACCTGAAGTTCCCTGGCCTAGCCTTGAGAAAGCAACTCCAGGAAAGGGGTGAAAGCAGAGCATGAAAAATACACAATATTATCAAAAGTTGATGGCATTACCCATGGGGTGCTTTTTGCACTTTTAGGGAAGGCTGGGGAAAAGGAAGGACCATCCTTTCTAATTCTCAGGGTTTCTCAGAATTTCCAGTTTGTGAACTTTCTGCAGACTTTCCTCACTGCCCCAGCTCCAGAGGTCTGAGAATCTGGGATAATAGAGAAGCTCCTTTATGGGGACAAAAATCTGCTCTGCTATCCTTTATCTCAAATGGTATCCCCAAACCCTAATAAGTTAGTCCAGGCAGCTACTTGGGAGCAGGGTCAGCCTTTGTGCACAGCAGCTTCTGTGCCCTCCAGGCTGTGTCCTCACCTGGCTGGCCTAACCAATGACTGCCTCCCTCAAGGCTCCCAAATCTGTACCCAGTTCAGTTCAGGGGGACACTGGAAATTAGATACAGTCCCTATCAGTTATAGGCCATGTCACCCAAAAGATTAGGGAGAGAAAACAAAATAGAACTCATTTTCTTATTAGCAGATGTAAACTCAAATACCCAGAGCTCTGGTTAAAACACCCTATACATAGAGTCTAACTCTTCCAGATGGAAATGAGGTCAATTGAAAAAGCTTCAAAAGCCACAAACCTGAAGGAGTGGGCTCTGGAGCTTCTGCTCCTCTCTGCACTGTGCCTGAAAGGTCTATGGAGTTCTCTTCTGGAGTCTGGAGCAGGACGTGCTGTGCCCTGCAGAGTGGAAGTAAGGGGGACAACGGTTTTAAACTGAGCAGAGGGAAGAGAAGCAGGGAGGGGAAGAAGTGGGCAATATTTCCTGGAGGAGGGAGTTTTTTAGTGGACTTTTTTAATAAAACAAGAATAGTATCACCAATCACTCAACCACCTTCAGCATATATCAACATTCTACTATGCTGTTTCATATATGACACTCGCTACCCTGACCCACTCTTTGTGAGATGTGGGAGGGCGGTCTGGAGTATTTTAAATCCCAGACATCTTATTCAAAGAGGATGAGTTTTAACTAAACTTTACAAACTGGGACAGGAGCCCCTCTGCAGACGCCAGAGTACACTGGGGAAGGAGTCACTCAGCTCTTCCAGAAGGAACTTCCAGCCCAGACATGTGGGCTGCTGATTCTAGCTCGTTGCCAAATCAGAAATGTTTGCCCTCACTGAATGAAACCTTTCCTCAGGAGTCAGTGCTTGATCCCAAATGCCAAATAGAGCAATATATATGCCCAAGAAAGGTAAGACAATCACACAAACACAAACATGCACACACAAATGGCCCATAAGCAAGAACACCACCCCCCCACACACACACACATTACTGAAGTGAAGTAAGAAAGACCCTCCTGGTCAAGAGTGCAGACCTTGGGGTTGAGTGTAAGGTACACCCTTCAAGTTTCTCTTCTGTACCTCACCCCCATGCTGGAGCTTGCTCTGGACGCAAAGGAAGGGTCTGTACTTAAGAGGAAATACAAAAAAAAAAAAAAAAAGTAAAATA